CCTAACGAGTTTTGCAACATTGATTCTTGGTGAACCTATTGTTGAGGGAACAACACTTAGTCGCAATGTATGTGTGATGAAATATATGGTATACTGAGGAAGTCACTAAGCTTTCTACTTAATCGATTATATTTAATGTTTTTCGGGTTACTCTTGTGAGAAAAGGAAGGGTACGACGTGATTGTACTCGCATCTATGGTTTGTGCTAAGACTTCCGCTAAACTCTTATTTATATTTTCATTATGTTTGAAATGAATGGAAGTTTATGTTCTTTTTATGAAAATGGCTTTCTGGATTGGTTTAATTATATATCAATAAATATAACTTTGGTTGAATATATATATATATATATATATATATATATATATATATATATATATATATATATATATATATATACTAGTCGTTACCCGCGCAAAGCGGCGGGCGGCAAATAGTATGTTTCAGCAAATTGTTTTAATATTGATATTAGTTTCCTTTAATTGCGAGGTAGTTCCTTGTGGCCGTTTGGTGGACTGTTTTGTGTCATGGCTAGACCATGGGCTAAGGTATTTCTCGTTCATTCGGGGTCGTTTAGGTGGTTTAAAAATATATTTTTCAATTTTTAATTTTTAGAAAAGTATTTTTCCATAATACTAGTCATGAAAATTGGTATTCGGAAACAATATGTTTTAATATATGAAAATTGGTTTTTTATAGGTTTGAAAACCAATTTTTCAAACCGATTCCAAACCACAGTAAAATCCTTAAATTTGTCCAAACCAATGTGTATAGATTTTAAACCGAATATGTTTCATCTTGTAATTGGTTTCAGATTTCGAACCATTTCGGATCATGAACTGTTTATTTTGCCCAATTCTATCATAGGGATAGTCTAAATGTCAATACATTGAAGGTATTGAACTTTTGGATATCATAATATATTTATAGGGATAGTCTAAGATTCCAAATATATAAAATTACGATACAAAATTATTTGATGTTTTGGATATCCGGAATTATGGATCTGAATTTGATTAATAGTTTTGATATATTTTTTGGATATATTTTTTTGGATATATGACAAATACACCTAATTAAATTGTAACTTTTTCACCAAAAATAAAAAAATGGATAATTTTTCGCATGGTTCATAGCTGCAGAATATAGTGGGCAGTGAATCGGTCCTTTCGGGTGTCATATATTGGTATGTTTGTTAGTATATGATTATTTGGTGAATAGTTTCGAGGCAATTAGTTTTTATCGACAATTAGTTTCTTTTCTGCGGAATACTTTTTTTCCGTCATTAGTTTCTTTTCGGAAAGAAGACCAAGTATCTGAGAAACCACATGAACTATTTACGTAATTTTGTATAAAACTTATCAAGTAAAATCAAAATTTATAAAAATAATAAATTCGAATAACTAAAAAAAATCATGCAATCACTATGAGTTGTAGTGATTCAAGAAATCCTACATATCCTATTAGTACCCATGAATTACATTTGAAAACCAACCAAAGAGCATGAGAGAGAATTTACAATAATATGTTTATTAATTCAAGAAATCCTAAGTATCCTATCACCACACCACATTACACTACATTAAAGATGCTATCAAACAAGTCTTAGTTACCCCCTCACACACAAAAAATTTGCAGAAAAATGTTTATCCTAAGCATTGATTCCATATCAATGCTTTTCTCATCACAAAAGAAACATGTTTGCCTAAGTATCAGTAAATCTTAAAAAAGGAACCACCCACAAATAATGGGTTATAGCATGCCAACCATTATTTTACCATAATTAATATTGTACAAATTGAAGGAAAAAGACTAAAAATCAGAATCAAAACAAAAAAGAAAGCTTAATTTATAGAACCAGAAATGTCCTTTAAGATCGAAGGAGGTGTTTATTACCATCTGTTGTTAAGTATGTTTGCTCTGGTAAACAAATCTTCAATTTCATCTGCAAAAACGAAAACCAAAAGTAGTTAAAGCCACATCAGACTGAACAATGGCCATTACAGACTTAATACTTCTTGTTGCAACATGTGTTTCTATTATTCATATGATGTTTTATTTGTTAAACCAATAACCAGGCAAGGTAAGTGGTTTTTCATATTGATAATGTATAAAAGCTAAAGTAACATAAAAACCTAAATTAAGAGCAAGTGATGCCAAATCAACATGACAGCCAGTGTCATCAGGTATTGAATGTTCACTTAAATCTCGGTATGTTGCTGGTGTCACGGTAGTAGCACTACCATCTTTGCTTCAAAAACCAGAAAAAACCAAATAAGTGTGAGATTGAAAAGCCTAAATGAAGGACAGAGAGTGAGAACTTGAAATGAGATTTGGAGAAGAAAACAAATCTTAGAATGAGAACTTGAATGGTCGTTTGTGACGGACTTTTACACCTATATATCAAAAAAATTGATCATGTCAGAATGAGATGTTAAAATGAGACCTTAGACTGAGATTTTCATAAGAAAACCCATAAACAAACCATAATGAGCCTCAAATAGGTTAACACAAAATCGAACACATCAGTAAAAACACAAAGACATTTAAAAACACCAACCTTCCACTTATTTTTAACACGTGTGAGAGAAAATTTAGAGATTTTTTTTAAAGAGTTCAGAAATGAGAGAATCAGACGGTCTTCTAGGGCCTGATGGACACGGTGGGTGGGAGTCATCGTTTTGAGCAAACGCGGCTCATCCCAAACTCCAAACTTAAACATCTGCAGCAAAGAGAGACTGAAAAAAGACAGAAAGAAGAGGCGTACCTTGAGGCATTTTATGGTGGTGGTGAGATAGCGGTGGACTGGTAGTGGCAATGGTGGTGTTGCAACTGAGATTAGGTTTACCGAAGGAGGGAGTTAAGGTTCTTTGAAGAGAAAATTCTACATTAATCCGAAAACCAAACCATGTTCTTAAAACCATCACAAACGTAGAATCCTCAGGCTTAAATCTCGGCTTCAATTGACTAAATAGTTCAAGACCTGGTCAAGATAAGCTAGGATATGAAGGAAAGATAAGCCCGGTCAAATTTTGAGATAAGTTCTTTTGTATTGCATTGGATATTTGTATGTATTATATTATTGTTTGTACAATATAATTTAAATACGGTGAAGTTTAAATTTGAATATTATTTTATTAATGTTTACTTGTATTATTAGCTTAATAGTTTGTACGTCTTAAATCTATTTTTAGAAATAGTAAGGTTTGCATAATAATATAGTATATATATATATATATATATATATATATATATATATATATATATATGATTAAATGTAACTTTAGCATTAAAGACCGAAAACACATATTAGAGTATCTGGAAACACAATGGAGCATTTGGATTAGGGTTGGAGTATTTAGATAATGCGCTCCAACTCTTCAGGGTGTGATGAGCACATGAAGAATGTACTGGCACATTCTTAATGAGATCTTTTCCTTTTAGGTTGTGATGAATGTTTCTAAATGCGCTCCATGAGAGGAGAATGCCCTCATGGATGCACTAACAACTCAAGGATGGCTTGGCTCTTCAAAATGTGCTTTAGGCTAAGCTAGTTGTGCTCCTATCATGTTCAATGCACCTAATTCTTTGTGAAGTCACTCCTAGGTGCATGGTAGGTGGCCATGCACATTTTGACAAGGTTGAAGATTCTAGATGCCACTATATGGCGCCTTGTGATCGGTCGATGCTCATTTGGACATATAAATGGATGGGCATGGCCATTTTGGTTTCATGTATAGTCCTCAATTGAGATAACATGGGTTTCTAGCTAGGATTTATTTATGATCTTTAGAGAGTCTTTGTGAGGTCTTTTATTCATCTTGATTGTTTTGTTGATCTGTTTGAGCTCATAAATAAGATTACACCATCTTATGTTGTGGACATGGGTTATATAGAAAAAATCAGGTTAAATAGTGTATATGTGTGTGTGGTTTCATATGATTTCTTGTTTATTATTGAATAAGTGTTATCAGAGTTATAGTTTGATATGTCGATTGAAGAGATGTTATCTCATAAATTCGATTTGGAAAAATTCAATGGTTCGAATGGCTTCACTTTGTGAAAGGTGAATATGAGGGATCCTCTAGTTCAATAGAGTTGTGCAACAGCTTTTGAAAGAGAAGTGAAACTACCAAAAGACATAGTTGAAATGCTAAAGAAGGATATTAAGGCCAAAGCACATAACACTATTTTGTTAAGCTTGACAGATGAAGTATTGAGGAGGGGTTACGGATCAAATATATGTTGTTGGTATTTGGGAGAAAGTTTGTGACAAGTATCAAAACAATTCTCTCACAAATCATTTGTATCAAAAGCAACGTTTTTATACTCTTTGGATGATAGAAAGTACCTAGGTAAATGATAATCTTGATAACTTTAATCATATTATCCTGGACTGAAAAAGAATTAATCTAAAGACTGAATATGAAGATCAAGCTCTCTTTTTGTTATATTCATTGCTGAATTCTTATGAGAATTTCATTGATACCATGTTGTATGGTAGAACAACGATCATTGTTGAAAATGTTTTAAAACTGAATAACAAGACTAATAATATAATTTTCAGTCTAATTCTGAAGTAATCCAGTCAAAGATTTGAATATCAACAAGTATTTAATGCAGAAAGTAAATACAATGAATAAATAATTGAATTAGTAAATGAAGAACAATAAGGATGTTTGATGGAGAAATCTAATCGTTTGATATATTCAATGTTGCATAAAAGGTTTGTTTACAAACATAGTTGACCTACCTTTTTATAGGCAATTCTAAAGCATGCTAAGACCCACAAGAATAAGAGGTACAATAGAAAACCTGATCAATAGGGTCATAAAACTGACAAAAGATACATGTTATTATTTTTCCCTAATCTAACTACATACTAAAATACAAACTATGTTATTCATCGGATAGACATTACTTCAGATAGTAGTTTCATCAGTTGGTATGACTTCATCGCATGGAACTTTATTAGATCACTTCACATTATTCGACATGATTTACATCAGATAGATTTGGGTACTTATTTGAAAGAAAAATCTCCAAAGAATGACCTTATCTATATCATCATCATTCTTCATCTTGAAAGGCAAAAACATGGGTTTTAACAACCAAGTTTGAACCTCAATCCACCATCTTAACACTTGTACAAATTCCTGCTTGACATCATCTGGAGCATAAGATTTAGGAGTTTTACTAATATTCTTTTCGAGCACATTGGTGTGGACCATGTGATTTTGTCTTATCTCAAAAATTTCTTCTTGGACGATCCATTTGGCTGATAAAACGTAGCCAAACTCAAAATCTGATGTTGGCCCAAAATGCATGTCTTCTATTCCTTCCAAGGAAGTGTTGGGAGATTCATGAATTACACCTATTTTGAAAAGGTAGTGAAGCTCAACATCAATTCTCGTAAATTCATCAATATAGTCCTTCAAAAGTTGGTTTGCGGTAGTAAAGGCACTATCAGTTAGGACACTTTTGCTCTGTCTATTGATGAAGTGTTTGGCAATGGTCAAAACACCCACATGATTCATCACTTCAAAATCTACTTTAGATATAGTGGTCTTGGTGTTGTCAGCTCGGACCATGTTGTAAAAGTAGAGATGAGATTTGAGAGTGATTCAGTTGATGTTGTTTTTAAAAGTAACCCTAAATCAATGTGATCCTTTTTAAGGTCCAAAATTCCTTCCTCGGTTTGGCACAAGCAGCATGGAAGAACTCAAGTTGTAACATCCAATTTTGAGAAGCTTCTTATTTCGGGAATTATGGGCATTAATGGATCAAGTGATGGCCCTGGAATTCAACGGTTTAAATTTTAGATCTAACGGGGTGTGGATTTATAGGTTATGTGATTTGAGCTTTTGGTTTGTGTTTTGGAATCTGATGGTATAATGGTAAAAGTGATGCTTCAGACCTTTCTTGATTTTAGGATTCAAGTTTGGAAGGTTTTCAGTCGAAGGAGATTAGAGGGGATTGTAGGGTTTCTCGTTACCTTTCCGAGCATATAAAGAGCGTTGAAAATGGAGTTGGGACGCAGAAGTTATGGCCTTCGGAAGTTTGAATGGGTAAGGGGTTGGCCAGTACGTTGGGCGTACTTAGCCTAGTTGATCGCGAAAGTTCTCCCTGGTACACTGGGTGTACCATGGGTATGTTAGGCGTAAGCAAGTCAGAAGCAAACCCTAATATTTGGGTCTTGGACCTTATTTAAATACATTAACTCATTGCAAACCCTTCTTATCCACATCCTTCATCCTCTCTAACTGTAAATTCTAAACCCTAGCCCCATTTGTGAGATCATTGAGCTTTTTAGTGTTTTGAAGTGTTCTTGGTGCATCTTGGAGAAGAAGGAGCTCATTGGAGAAGTGTTGGTTATTTTGGAGTGTGTAGGTTCAAACCTTGTGCAACTTGATCTTTCTTCTGGGGGTATAAAGCTTCAATCTTGATGGTTCTGTTATGTAGATCTAGCTTTAGGTTATGCCATGAGCATGTTTTGGTCCCATGGTTTGGATCTTGTGAGTAGAAGTTACTCCAGAACCTTTAAGCCTCATTTCTAGTCATGTTTGCGGTCATTAAGTCATAAAAATCGAATCTTGATGGGTATATCGCTTCCATGCATGATTTGGTGGTCTTTTGGTGAAGTTATGAATCTAGGGCTTTGGTTTGGACACCATTAAGCCATGCAAAGTCATAAAGTCAGGAACTTTATGACTTAGGGAATCCCTTAGAATAAGATCTAAAAGTTGGACATTTTATCTTAAGGCATTAAGAGCTTTGAAGGAGGTATTGGGCTTCAGTGCGCAGTACGTCGGGCGTACTGGGTGGTATGAGGGGCATACTCACCAAATACACGTTTGGGCCATTTTTGGGCCTTGGTTCATTTTGGGTTTGGGTTATGATTTGTTTAGCCAAGTATAGGAAGGGTAAAATAGTCTTTTACCCCTTATCATGATGGATTATGATTGGACCTTAGATTATGGGTGATTGCTCTAAGTATTGATTATGATGATTTTGGTTATGTTCAGTGTGAGGAGCCCGGTAGCACCAACACATGTGTGATTCGGTTATCTTCAGATTGAGGTGAGTCTCCTCACTTTACTTGTGGGTCAAACGCACCAACGCCAACCCACTGGAATGAGTTTGGTAGAATACTAGCTGTCTTTGTGACTCTTGGATTGTATGTTGGGTTGGGCCCATGGACATACATGTAGGTCTATGCCCAATTGCATGATAGGGTTGGGCCCATTGTATGTTGGGCTAGGCCCAAATGTATGTTGGGTTGGGCCCATTGATTAGGAAGGACTAGGCCCATTATTATGGGTTGGGCCCAATGTGCGGGCTAGGCCCAATGTAACACCCGGCTTTCGTAACAGGTGTTATTTTATGAAATATAGATATTATGAGTTGAGTAAATGAGATAAAGCCTTGAGTTGCTTAATTTTCAGATATAATATTTATAAAAAGATAATCAAATAATGTTGTAGAGCTTGTTGAGAATATTTCGTGAAAAAAAGATCATCAAAAACGGAGTCCGTATGAGGAAGTTATGATCGTTTGAAGATTTGATCAAAGTACGCTGCTATATTGAGAAAGTCAACGAAAATCAAGTCAACGGTCAAACCTTTGACTCTCACGATGTGAGGAAGGTTGTCTCACGACGTGAGCAACATGAATCGATAAAAACACGTGTCGAAAGAGTAGGGCACGTGGCAGAAACCGGTCTAAACACTTCTCACGACGTGAGAGGTATATGCTCACGACGTGAGCATCCCCAGAGTATAAATATGAGTGTTTTGTGTCATTTTGGAGTATTTTGGCGTACGTGAGGAGAGATGCTGCTCGGGAGCCATTCTCGAGAGTCTATGCCGGAGATGTTATATTGGCGTACGGGTGATATAGAGTTGAGTTGCAGGATACAGTGAGGTGTTACCATGTGACGAGCTGATAGATAGTGGAAAAGTAAAGCTGAGACTGGAATAAGTCTATCGACTAACCAGGTAGATTTATTGTGATTCCCGGCTCGATCCTGTGCTTGCTGGCAGCACGATCCTTGTGATAACTTCTTGTATGCCAGAGTGCCACTCTACAACAAGATTATTTGTAAAACTTTTAAATGATTCTGGATAAATTTGGGTGTACCTTGGTAGAAAAAAAATTGGGCGTTTCAAGTTGGTATTAGAGCCGATGTTTAAGTGAATTAGGTTCTTATAGTAGAATCCTAAACTTAAACCTTAAGAGTAGAGATGATATTTGATTGATTTGTTAAATGTGTTAGATAAATGCATTTGATTTGATGATTATGAGTTAATTGGCTATTAGATATTAGAGAACCTTGAGGCAAATGATTATATTTATATGTATTTTATAAAAACAAAATAATGTGGTTGAGCATTGTAGAGAGAGTTGCGATAATTATGATAACTGATCCGATTTAATTATGTGATAGTTAGATATGATAATTTATTTGATATGGTGTGTATGAGTTAGATAAATAAATTGATACCTAAGGAATTTTGAGATAACTAAATAATTATATATAATTATTCTTTAAAAAAATCTTGTGGAGCAGTTTGGAGGGAGTTGCGATGTATGACTGCGATATTCACAGCAAAATACCAGGTGCGACAATTCGAGATACGCGACGTAGTGATTGGAAATACGCGATGCAGCTAGATCAAGAAATAGCAATACACTTTGACCCTCACGACGTGAGCATGTGTGATCACAATGTGAGCATTAAAGTATGATGCTATAATTGATTTGTGAAGCTCATGACGTGAGATATGTAATATCACGACGTGACACGTGTAAAGATCACGATGTGGCGAGGCGGAGATCACGACGTGGCGAGGTGGAGATCAGGACGTAGCGAGCTGGAGATCATGAAACGATGTAGCCAAGAAGATTTAGTAGATGATGTACTTTGAGTAGCTGGGACGAGGCGAGAGCTTCCCATGACACAAATTTAAATTTAGATTACTATATGATGACTTACAATGATGAATTGCGAGATGACAAGAAAGTTACATGACGAGATATGTGATGAAGATGAGTTAAAATACATTTAAATACATTTATAGAGTCAAGAGCGTATAGAAAACGAGAGTATAAAATTAGAATGATTCAATAGCCTTTAAAGTTGAGATAATATGAGAGTTATAATAAAGAGTTTTGAATCAAAGAGCTCAGATTAAAAGAGATGTCAGAGCATAAGATTAGATAGAGTATGAGAGTGTGAGATTGAGTAATACTATAACTCTTAAAACGAGATAATGTGATCAAGATTTATATTAAATAAGAGATAAAGATGTACAAAACTTTTGATCGAGATTTTGAGACTCATGAGAGAGAGGGATGATGAATGAGTTAGGATAGAGATAGAAAGAGACTAAAAGAGAAGGATAGAGAGATCAAGAGAAAAAAGAGAGAATGAGACAAAGAATATAGGTGAAATAGGATTTGAGAAATGAAGACTTTTACCCGAGATCATATGATTTACATAAAGATCCATGAGAGGTGATTGGATCTTACAAAATGAGAATTTTGATTGAAATCGTAAGACTTACATGATTATATCATGTAGAAGATTTAACATACATGTAGACGATCTGACATACATGTAGACGATCTGACATACATGTAGACGATTTGACTTACATGTAGACGATATTTTGTAATTGAGTCTCTGAGAGGTGACGATGCCCAATCCTAATATGAGATATATCATGATCGACTTGAGTTATAGATTTGAGTAAATGATATTGATTCGAGTAATCGATCTGAGTGGACAATATTAAATTGAGTGATTCAAGAAATTGATTTGAGTGAAAATATTAATATGAGCGATTGATCCAATTAATTTGAGTCATTGATTTGATTAAATTAGGTGATCAATCCAAGTGATTGATCAAAGAAATCAATGCTGTTTAGAGTAGTTAATCAATTGATTTGAGTGATTAATCTGAGCAATTAAATTTTTTATCAAAGTGATTAATATCAATTAGAGTAATTAACATGAATGATCGATTTAAGCGATCTGAGTGATAAATTTGAATGATTAATTAATCATTGATTTAATTAATATCAGAGATTAAATTGAGAAAGTGGTTTGAACGACCTGAGTGATTAATTTGGATGAGTTATGGACCCGTTATAATATTTTAAGATATGATTTATAATATACCGATCTGCTGAGTGTCTAGTTGATATCCATTATGTGGAAGGCTTATTGAAATTGAAAAGGATGATAATCATGGAATAAAAGTAGATTTCTTAATAATAATTATGATAATTTAGAGAATAACGAGATAGAAATAAGATGAAGTATCAGAGTATGATTTGGAGTAATGATATAACTCCTAAAGTTGATATGAAGTGAGAAATTACAGTAAAAATTTTGATCGAGATGAGAGATGATTAGATCTGATATGAGATTGAGATATGAGATTGATATTCCTTCGGGAATGAGTCTGAGATATAAGATTGATATTCCTTTGGGAATAAGATTGAGATACGAGATTGACATTCCTTGGGAATGAGACGGTGTTATTTATTGATGTGTCACGGGTTGACACTGTTTTTATTCGTTGAT